CTCAGCCATTTACATTTTGTAATTTACTGCCAAAGTAATATAACACAAAGTTGATAACTGTGGAAATGCATCATCACAGTCTGTAAAAAGGCTCAATTATAAGCAAAAACTAAATATAGCAATTTGGATTTATAGTCTTTATAATCTGGATCTTTAAAATGACTTTTATTAATGATAATTCTATTTCAACAATACATGTCATGTGACTGATGATTACTATAGCCGCCTCAGTTTAACCGGCATCACGGAGCGCGAGCAGCCAATCATCTCTTCCTCTTTATGAACGAGTTATTTTTTGGTTTGAAAAGGTTTTTGAACCTCCAAATATGTTTCTAGTCAAAGTGACTCAAAATAATGGAGCAGGTCACATATAATCAACATTGTTGACAAATTACAGTTCAAATTGAAAGTTGATGTCTAAACATTTTCAGAATAAAAGCTGACATATGAGAGTGAAAGATGTTTTAACCTCGGAGGAAACTGAGGAGGTTGCCTTTTTCCATAAGCTCAGTTATGATGTAGAAAGGGATGGAGCTTGTGCAGACGGCAAAGAGTGTGATGAGATGTCTGTGTCTGAGCTTTTTTAATATTTGTGTCTCTAACAGGAATTCCCTGTGGTTGAGAGACTCTAGAGGAGAAGGACAAACAGAGTACATCAGAAAATAAACATCAATAGGGAGAAATATGGATTTTACTCTTCCATGGGATTTTTTTTAATATGCTGAAAGGCATGAGCTTAAACAGAGTTTTAGAACTGTTGTTAGAGAGTTCACAGTGTTGTGCTAACAAAAGTTTATGAGGGCAGTAGCCTGTTCTCATATTCCTCCAGCTCTGACAGTCAAGAAACACTGCATTTCTCGCATTCATGCATAACAGGATCAGGAAGAGAAAAAAAACAACCCAAATAGACATTCTAGTAATCCAGACATATTCCCTCATTTAGCCTTGATTTTTTTTTTACTGTACAGACAACAACCTTACCATTTCTTTTGAGGATTTTGATGGCAACATTGACCATGCCTTTCCATTTTCCACGGTAAACATCAGCAAAGTATCCCGTACCGAGCGCCTCTTCCAGTGTAAACTCTTCCTTAGGTAACTCCCAATCATCCACTGTTTGATGGGAAAGATCCTGTTGTTTTGGTTCTGGCTGTTAGCAAAACAGATAGAAACTCTGTGAGGAAAAGTACACAGTGATAGAGAGAAATATGATTTGTTACATTTACACATTGTATATTCAGTGTGTGGTGATCTGCTATCAATCTGATATAGGAATCACTGTATATAGGCAGAATATAAATGTAAATGTAATACAACTAGGGATTTAATCTAAAATGAACTGACAAAAGCTTACAATTTGCCCCAAATTAGTATTAATCATTGACTGAAATCATGTCTTCCCATAGACAGTCTTTTTCCTCATGTAACAGGCGTTTTCTTTCTGGTAGATCTCTTACTATCTTAGATCCTCTTTAATAGCACATATTTTCTTTCTTTTTTTGTTTATTAGGGACCATGTACAATTTCTAACATAAATGTTGCCATTTGATGCATTGTACAAGACTTAGCCATAGGCTATATTACATCTGCAGTCCCCTATATTACACGTCACAATGAAAAGTACATATCAGACACACCCACTTTTCATTTGCTTAAAGAAATTGTTTACCTCAAAATGATTTATCAAACCCTCATGCCAAAGTATAAAAAAGCACTGTATTGTGAAAGAATCATTCAAACAAGTTTTGTGAACCAGATCAAATGATTCATTGAAAAGAGCCGACTCAAAAGAGGGATTCGGTCATAAATCAGAAGCAGCCGCTTGTCCATGAATATGCCAAAGATAACTAGTATATAGTCATACAGATTTGAAATGACATGAGTTATTACATAAATGACTTTCTGCATTTTACTTTTTTTTTTTGATTGTTTTCCTCACCCGTGCGCAGGGATGTGTGAGACAGTTACCAGACCTCAAGGAATTGTTCTTGTAGTGCTCCACCAGCATCTCCAGGCTCTGAAACATTTCATTCAGATCCAAATAGAAACTTCCATTCTGATTCTGATGGATCTTAATGTGTTTCACTTCCTTCTCACTGATTAACACTGGCAGAATGACACACAGAGAGAAAGGATGTTGACAGTAGAGAAGCACTGTTTAGATGCTTTCTGATCAAATGCACCTGGCATGAATATCACAAATAGGCGAGAAGAACACAAAGAAACGCTTGCACTTTTAGCAAGTCTATGGCTAAATTGACTACATTTCTATTTTATCAAAAACAAGTGACTCAAAGATTATTTTACCACATTATAACAATTACATTAGTTCTGCCACTTGTTTAGACTAGTAGGCAGAACCTGATGTGTTTGAGTTTAAAATCAAGTTCAATACAGACATCAATCACTCTGACATACCTGATAATACACAGCCAATGTGATCTTTTTCACTGTGTCGCACCAGGAAAGCACCTACTCCATTCCCAGGGGCCATAAGCAAGTTCTGGGTCTCAAAACGATTCAGTGTCCCAAAATACCAACTAAAGAAGAGGACAGTTTCAAATCACACGCATGCACCAGAGTTTGGACAGGACTACATTTGTATTGGATGCATGATACGACAATACATTGCTCGGAATTGCAAAAGGCTAAAGAAAGAAAAAAAATTGTGAGATAAAATTTGTCCAAAGTTTCCTCTCAACTGAGTGAGACTGGGAGAAAGAGAGGTATAAAGTAATTCAGCTCAAACTGCTCAGTGATTACACAGCAAGCTCTTTTGTCTTTTGCATCCGTTCCTCTCGACGATACTTGGCGAGTTTGGCTTAATTTTCAGTCACAGTGGCTCAGGAGAAATGTAGCTCTACGATTTTGGATATTATATGTCAATCAATATTAATTTACAAATTAATCATGTTATTTTTTCATAATGATAATACTTAGCCTATAACGTTAGTTGCCTACTATAATTGGTAATATTATTATTAGCCCTACTTTGATATTGTCATTCGTAACGAATTTCACTGGTTTTGACCACGAGTTCTGGACTCTTTCAATTTTCTGTACTTACGGTTGCTCTTTCACAGTTTTCCTTCTCGCCAGGTAATTTTGAGGAACGACGCCCTGGGCTGTCACCTTTCCGTTTTCGTCCAGTTTAAAGGCTGTCCACCAGTCACCCTCCCGCTTGTAAATTCGGAACTGCTCTCCGTCCTGGAAGGATAGTTCCTCTTCTGCGCGGGCATGGAAGGGCCATAGCGCCGTGTATATCTCACCTTCGGGCTCAGACGGAATTGGTGTCTGAAGTTCGCCAGTATTTGCACATGTTTCACCTTCATCCTTAGACGAGTTGAAAAGTCTTTCCCAAAGCGCCTCCAAACGTGGGCACGAACAATACCCGTTCTTGAACATTTCATTTGAATATGAATCTATGACTGTAACAGGTTCCGGACTGATGAGACGAGGAAGCTGGACGGATCCTCCATCGGCAAGTGTTTACACTCGAGTGTGAGAGCTGGGAGGAGCACAGTACAGTGGTTGTGTACAGTGTCTCACAACAACAGCTGCCAAATTGGACAGCATTTCTGACAGCGTCTGTGCACAAGAATGCTGTTTAGGTGTAGCAGCACAATACGTTTTGAGACACGACCAGTCAGGTACGAAACTCCTCAGGGCTACACGTATACACACTGCTTAAAAATGCTGTTCTAACATTTTAAATATATAGGCTACGTTAAGCAATAGGCCAACGTTTTTTGGACATTGACTTAAAAAATACTCTACGAAAAAGATATTGTATTTTGTTTCCAGATCCAAAATGATATTGAATGTTATCATACAAAACACCTGGTCTTTATGGTCCCCTCGTCACCAAGGATGATGAGACCCAGCAGGGTTTCTCGGTCCTGGAGGGCCACTGTCCCTGCAGAGTTTAGCTCCAACCCTTGATCAAACACACCTGAGCAAGCTAATCAAGGTCTTCAGGATCAGTAGAAACTCACACCTGTGAGTTTCTACTGATCCTGAAGACCGAGGTAGGTGTGTTTGATCACAGGTTGGTGTGTTTGATTTGGATGGAGCTAAACTCTGCATGAACAGTGGCCTCCAGGACTGAGATTGGGGAACCCTAGTCTAGGAAGGAGGTTAGTGTTTTGGCCACTTGGTGCAGAGACAGCAACCTGTTGCTGAATGTCAGCAAGACCAAGGAAGTTTTTGTCGATTTCCGGAGAGGCCACACTCAGCACCAAATTCTTGGGGGTGCACATCAGTGAGGACCTCTCTTGGAATGCTAACACTATCACTGGTGAAAAAGTCCCAGCAGCACCTCTACTTTCTCCGCAAACTTAAACGAGCGAGAGCCCCTCCACCCATCAAGTGCACATTCTACCGAGGCACCATTGAGAATATCATAACCAGTTGTAGTGCTGTGTGGGGCGGAAGTTGCACTAACTACAACAGGAACTCACAGGGTATAATAAACAAGCTGAAAGGATCATTGGTGCCTCCCTTCCCTCTTTGCAGGACATGTAGGCTACAATCTCCGCCTTACCCACAAAGTAAGCATGATTGTGGGCGATATAGCCCTCTGGGAGAAGATATCAGAGCCTCCATGCTCGTTCCACCAGACTAATGAACAGCTTTATTCACCAGGCTGTCAGGAGGCCAAACTCTCTTCCACCCCCACCCCCATAATCTCGATTTTATCCACATCATTATATTATTATTATAGGTCATCTTACATTTTGTATCTTTCAAAACCTGGGTTGCTGCTAATACTTGTATATAAAAATATAGCACTATCTTTCTAGAATACAGAAAGTTTTCTTTCTGCTGTATTTTGTTTTTTCTTAAAAATTATTTTATTTTATTTATTTATATTTCACCGTGGGTTGAATATACTGACCTTGACTTTATGCCACTGACCTCGTTACATCAGCCTACTGATTTTTTTCTAAGAAGTGTAAAGGCCAAATTTAGGACAAGAAAATACAAATAGACTACAGGTGTGACTTCAGTTCACAGATTTTATTCAGACAGCTCTGGAGGAAAGAGCAACTCAGGTTGCACTGCAGGTGCTTTCTCTGACCACAGCGATGACACCACATCGAAAATTTTAAATGTCTTAGAATGAGTCTCTCGGCAAAGTGATATGTAAAAGGCAGGAAAATCACCCACCTGTGCGTTTCAATTTTTTTTCATTTTTTTTTTTTTTTTTTTACATTAAACAAACAGAAATTAATTTTACCTGCCATATTCTCCATCTTTTAGGCGCTTCACATGTATATATATATATATTTATGTTTATCAACACTTTTCTAAAGAATTCAAATATTCAGCCACATGTACTGGATTCACTTTTAAATCACAATAAATATATAAAAAACAAACTAAACACATACATAGCAAATCCAATATAATTGGGTTGATATTGGAGAGAGGGAGGACTCGTCAGCCAAGACGTACAGACCTGGTTTAAAAAGAAACACAGATCCAAAGGGTTCCTGAGGTTTGCATGTTCCCCGCACATAAGAACGATGTAAGGGGAATGGCTTTCCGACTCACTGAGAGGCTTCTGACTGAGGTCAAAGAGCACGGGTCAGTTGCTTTATGAGTTGGGTGGATCTACCCCGTCCCAAACGTGACGCCCCTATTCTATGTTCCCAATAAAAACATTTAAAAAATGACATGACATCAAGTTTTTTATCTTTTGCTTTTTGTCACTAAGGGGACTACTTTAAGGGGCCATTTTACTCCCTCAGTCATGGAGAAGAAAGTTAGTGGTGCCCTTTGAGCTGATGATAAGTCCCTCCTCTCTCTCGTCCTCTACATCAGTAGTGACAACCACGTCTAAAGGCCCTTACACAGAAGACATTTTGCACTGGATGTTTGACAAAGGTAGAAACAAAAGCATAGCTAATAACTTAATATTCACACTGTTATGTTCTTCATTTTCTAATAATAATAATTAAAAAAAACATTTGCATGGATAGCAATAACTTATGGGAAAATAAATATAGAGATTTTAGCACAAAAGTGTGCAAAGGCCTTTACTGTGGTTTAAGGTCAGCATGTCCTTCAATGTTCCCCTCTATTCTGATTTGATTGAAAATAAAAAGCACGTTTTGGGGTCACGACAGGACAAGAGGTGGGGTTTTACTAGGACAAACAAAACCAACAACAACGAAAATAAAAGCAACAACAGAAAAAAAAAATCTTGAATTCTGTACATGTAAACATCACACACTTCCACTGAGTCAAAAAACCAGAAAGAAATCATACAAAGCTTCACATTGGTACAAAGAGAAACTGAGCTTCAGCATACAGTTTCTAGTAAGAACAAGAGTAAAAACAAATCAAATACCATAATCATAATAATGTTACAAAGCACCACGAAATTAAAATATATCACAGGCAATGGTTGTTACCACATTTGATTTGATTTTAGCTGCACGGTTTAAAAAAATAAAAACTTGTAGCTTCTCTTTTCTTTTCATGCCTATCCTTTTCTTTACATGTGTCTTGTGTTCACCAACCTCAGAGAGCTTTCAAAAACATCTTGCACTTGTATTATATGAACAAAAAGGTACAAAACAAGGAACAAAAAAATTAATAATAGGGCAAACAAAGATCAATAACCTGATACAACTTTTGTATTACAATACAATAATTTGATGCGGTCACCATATAATTAGAATAAGCCCAAAAGCATTTCTCGTCTTTCAACTCAAAGCCCAGTGCTGGACTGGCTCACATTTTCCTGCATGGAGTAAAGGGAACAAATAATTACAATGCAGAGTAAAAAAAAATAAAAAAAAATACAGAACATTATGGCTTGAGAATGATCAACTGCATTTCATAATTTAGGATCATTTAGGTGGTTTTAAGGCTCCATCCCATAAACATTCGACCCCTTCTTGTGTGTAAATTTTCCTTTGCGGATTGTAAAGTGCTACTATGTTAACCAATTTGATAAGTGTAACATCTGAATATAAATTAATGAATGTTCCTATCGCTTTATCCTTTCATCAAGGAATCTAGTTCAGTGAGTAACAAGTTAGAGGTAATAAACAAGCTTCCAGCCACGTATCAAAACTAAGTTGTTGAAGACAACTTAGATAATTTTTTCTCTTAAAAATGTGTGTCATATTCAGTCCCTTAGAGACCCGTTTGAGATGTGTGTTTTACATTTGGAATGTTGAGACTCACAACACTGATTCCCTTCAGACTGTCAATGTCGCACAACCAGAGTTGTTTTTTTTTTTTTGTTGTTTTCTTGTTTTTTGTAAAGTAACAAAAAGATATTTAACACGTGGAATAAAAAAGTAATACAAAACAACAAATGAAGCACAAATGGAATGGCAAGACGGCAAAAATAGATAATTAAAAATGTGTGTTTGCAGCTAAATAGAGGAAAATGCTCTGTTCCACATCGGGTTGCAGAGTGAGGACATGGTTCAAGCTATGGCTACAAGACTTGAAGGCCCTGTATTGTCACCACTCTACTAAAGGCTAGAGAGTCAGAGTGAGATCTCACACACCGCTATGCTGTTTTACGAGGGATCAAGTCACAATAGTTCAGGATTGTCTTTTGCTTTTTTTTAATACAGTTTTTTTTAACGATGGCATTTGTGAACATGAGAAAATGCAGGCAGGAGGAAGAGTGTGGCTGGTGTCAGAGCGGAATTGCATCATCAATGTTCTACGTACCACATGGTTCATGTGGATGATGCCCACCAATCACTGCCTCTCAAGCCCCTGGGTGTTGTTGACAGAAAGGAAATGATGTCATCTTCGTTTTCCCTCCGCTGATATTAGGTCCTTTCTCTCAAACTCACTGTGCATATACAGTATGTGTGCCAATAGGATGTTAAGTCCAATTGATTGGTCCCAGTGAAAATGAAAGTGTCTCAGTCATGAGGTTAGAAAAAAAGAGCAGCATTCACAACTCAACAGAATGTGTTTGCAATGCAATGCAGCATGGGAAATGCAATCCTTGTCCCTTTTCCCCCTTATTTTATTTTTTTTAGTCCATCAGCCCTCCTGTCTGGAAGGTTGATGTCACCCACTTGTTCCTGTGAGAAATATTCCTACAGTGCATTGATGCGTTGAGGATGGAGGTTTGCCAAGGCAATCGAGCATGTAGGAAAGGGTTTGAAGCGTTCCACTCATCACAGCTTCATTTGCATAAAGTCCAACATTCCCAGCCAATAGAATTTCAGCATCTTCTATTTTGCGCTCACCAATCACGGTTTCTTTTAGTAGACTTTTATGTGTGCATGTGTAAGCTGGAATGAAAATTCTTATATATATATATATGTACAAAGGACATCTGTTAAAGTGTTTATGATTGAAAATGATGCATTTTCAAACACAGACACACTATAACGATTATCATCGACATTGCACCTTTTCCCCAAACCTCATTAGCATTGAACAGATAAAAGAGATTTTTACAAAAACCCTTTTCTCTTCAATCTGTTCTATATCTAAAATGGCTAAATCTGGAGCAAAGCTGCTGCATGGATATGTCTATGGTAACAAAAAGAACAATGACAAACAGGAATCTAATCTGATAGCAATATTTTGTGCCAGTGTAAGTAAACTTTATGCTGGAGTTGACATCATTTTGTGTTTGTTTTGGGCATCACTCCTAAATGTACTGCTTTTGTGTTTCAAATGATGCAAGGTCTGGACTCTCTGTGGTGGACTGATAGATCTCTCTGTGTTGTGCTCTGTGCAAGACGATTGTAATGCTGTTGTGAGTGTTCTCTGATCATCTCATCATAAAACAATGTTTAACAAGTCATCTCAGCTCTCCGAAAAGGATTAAGCCCTGATGGACTCAAAGGTAAGGACATTTGATAAAGACACTATAATGGACATAAAGCTGTCATGAGCAATGTGTGATAGGTAGGTTTACAGGAAGAGCATAGGCGGAGTTTGGGGGGGTGCCAGGGGGAATCGAGTGTCTGTTTTTACTGTTTTTATCTTTGCGTGTTTAAATCTAAATATATTATGATAAATTACCTTTTTATTATCTAAATCATAGTCATAAATTGTTTTGCTGAGCACAAGAATCAACAATCTACTTCAAGTGCATTAAATATTACTGCTAATGACTGCAATTCCTGTTTGAGTACATTTAGTCCATAATGTGCATTAACAAGTCTGTGTAAAGCACCTTGTTGTTAACTTTATTTGGAACAGATACATAATACATGGATTTATGTAGATTTATCTTTTAAACTTCAGGTTTCTTTTCCTTCTGTAACTATTCATTCTATTAAGCCACCAAAATAGTTTTTAAGAGAGGTAGAATTTGATATGGAAATTCTATAATTACATGTAAATTTAAATAGAACATTTTAATGCAAAAATAAATAAAAACCATGCAAAATACAGGTTCATGGCAAGTGAACCTGAGAAAATGATGGCTGGTAAGTGTTATCAATTGTAGACCCTTGTATGTGTGCTTCAGATACAGCTTCTTCTATCCCCTCCATTTTCTTCCCCCCAAGCGAAGTGAAACTCCGCCTATGGACTTTAGGTGTATATGTATGTAAGTGCACATAGCTACATGTATCTTTCCTGTCATAGTGTGCATTTATGTGTGTGTGTGTGTGTGTGTGTGTGTGTTTATGAGAGAAAGACGGGCAGCACCAGCCTGTGTGCAGTTCTCAGTTCTGTTGCAGAATGAGGTTCTCGAGCTCATCAGCAGAGCGGAGCAAGAAGGCCGCAGACTCGCGATAACCTGCAATCAGTTGCCGAACAGCCGTGACCTCGGGCGGGCTGAGCTGGGCAGATGCCCCTCCACCCCCTCCACCCTGACCATGACTGTTTGAACTGGAGGAGGAAGTGCTGTTGGATGCCAAAGATTTCATGCTGAGATCAGTAGGCCCTGAAAGAAAAAGAAAGAGACATTTATTAAAATGAATATCTAGTAGATCTATAAAGAAAAGACTAGACCAGGGTTGCTTCAATACCAGTTTCAATAACCAATAGCAAGCATGACGTATGATGAAAGCTCAGGTGAGAGTAGACGCCTCTTGTGGTTCCGCGTTCCTCAACACGACGGGTCAGAGTTCATTCTTAAAAAATGCATCACTTTGCTTCAGTAGGCCTTTATTAACCCCCTGGAGCTGTATGGATTACTTTTATGATGGATAGATCACAATCGCTTTTTTGGGATTCAAAATCTCAGTTACTATTCACTCCCATAAAGCTTGGAAGAGCCAGGATATTTTTTAATATAATTCTGATTGTGCTTGGCTGAAAGAAGAAAGTCATATACACCAAAGATGGCTTAAGGGTAATTAAATTATGGGATAATTTTCATTTTTGGGTGAACAAACCCTTTAATACCAATTTTGATAGATCACAGCAAAAACGAACAAAATTAATCAAATTGTTAAATTGAACAATTACATTTTTCAAATTAAATATTAAATGAATATAGTGTTTAATATGGAAGTATTAATATAGTATTTCATATAAAAAAGCAAAGAGGGTGCACTTTTTTGTTGTTTACGTAGTAAGTCAGAACGGGTAGTAATTTTCTTTTTGATTATAGACATTTGGGCCTTCACACCTAAATCAACTAGGAAAGTGTGGAGACTGCATTGATGGGAATATAAATATGAATAAATTGAAATGAATTATTTTTCATTTTAATAAACACTTTTTTAAATAAATAGTACAGAGGGGCAGTTTTTTGGCCTAGTAAAAGAGTGTGCACTTGGATGGGTAAAATGCAGAGCACAATTTCTGAGTATGGGACACCATACTTGGCAACATGTCACGTCACTTAAACCATGAAGAACTTAATAAAAACTTCAAGAATATTTTTTGCATATTACTCACCATTGGTTTGTGATGTGCCATTGTTTTGGATGTTGTTGCCAAGGGTCCCGTATCCACGGAAACTGTAATTAAGTCCACCATTGGTGTAGAGTTGGTCCTGGGAGTAGGCCGAGGCGGCCAGTGAGAAGCCTGAGTTAGCCAGGGCAGCCGGATCTCTGGAGTTTGGCTTGTCAGCTGTAACCGACTCCTCCTGAACAGGAGTGTATGGAGGAAAAATGTGATAAGGCAAAGAAAGACCAAAAGATTACTCACCAAGTAACCTAAAAATGAATTCAATCTGATTAAAGATCTACAGATCAATTGATATGTACTCACATGGGCCTGATAGATGTCAAGGCGCATCCTCTTAGCAGCATTACGTGTTTCACTCTCACATGCTGCTGCAAGGATGTTCTCAGCCATGGCGGAGGTGAGGTGAGGGGGGGTGGGCCGTGTCTGACATAATCGGACAGGGCATAAAACATATATGTCATTACCTTATGCATTCCTGACTATGTTCTAATCTTAAAAGATGGTGTTTTTAACCCATATGTTACCAATTGCTTTAGTTATAAAACAAAACAAAAAAAAAAAACAATCTCTATCAATTTTTAGCTTTTCTCTGGAACTGAAAACATTTGAAATGATATTCTATTAAAGTGACCGTATCTTTTAAAAAAAGCCATCTTTTTGTAAAATTGTAAAATCAGATTTTTAAGCTAGTTGCATCAGTTCAAATATATTCAACCACTTCCAGTTCAAAAACACATCTGTTTTCTATAAGTCTTTAGCTGTACCAGCACCATACTTTCTAGAAATTCCTGTTTGATGGCATTTATTTCCTGTGAGATTCAGAAAATAAGATATGATTTGGAAAAACATTGAATCTGTTCTTCAAGAGCAGTGATTCTCAATCATGTTTTTCTCAATCATATGACAACACTACACATTTAGGATCTTTCTCCTATCTCGCACACTTTCATGTCATGGATTTCATGAGTTAAATCAGGCTCAGTGCCAGGACAAGGGTTAAAGATGACTGCCCGTGACCCTGTCAGCCACTAGAGGGCAGTAGTATGCTATCGAATGGTGTGTAGCACATGTGAAACATTTTGGATTATCTGTGGTATTGTAATAGCTCAGAAGATTATGGCAGATGTGTGTGTTTGCTTGTCAACGTGTGCAAATGCCCATGTTTCCATACCTCGAAGCCACCCTTCTTCATGCGGCGACAGGATTTGAGGTAGGTTCGGATCCGTTTGCGAGAACGTTCTTGGAACTCTGGGAACTGGCGGCTGCAGGACTCAATGATGGCCTGGATTTTCTCTTTGGGCTGCTTTGAGATTGGAACCATCCGGTCCAAATTCTCATCCACAAACAACCGCACAAACATCTGAAAACATGAAGAAATATTAGAGCAATGCAACAATGGAAAGAAAAGAAGATGGAACATTTAACATACCGTATCAATGAATCAGAAAAGGGAAATTGTGAGAAAGATGTGAACGTGAAAGGGGTAAAATTAAACTGAAGAAAATTATAGTCTAGCATTGAGGCCACTGAAATGCTTCTATTTTTTATAATACCACATTGTATATAATTTCCCAGTGTAAATTATATTACCAGCATAACAATTTGAGAGAATATGAAAAATGAATATGATTTTCAGTATTTCACATCATATTTGCTTTGTCTGTTTTTTGCTTTCACTGCTTCATGAACCCCACAAGTCTGTCTATGATGATCATATTATTCAGACGAGTGTTATTATATACTTCATTTCACTTCATACTTCATATACTTCATTAACTACTTCATTCGTTTCTTTATTTCTTTCAAAATACTAAAATGTTATGTTTATTAACAAAAAGACTGTCAAATGTGGTCTAAGACTTTTGGACTTTACCTCTAAACCTAAGCAATGTAGGTCAAAAAGCTTGAAAAGATGAATAAAAATACAAAATGTAATGTAAACCATAACATGAGAGGGAAAGCAGTAAAGGGTGCAAGTCTCACGTTAAAAGCTTTAAGTCGTTCGGGGTCCAGACCCTCAGCGTCATTAATCTTGTCACTGTCGTCATGGTCATCGTGATCATCATCATCATCGTCAATGACCTGAGAGCGACCCGGGGTCATGTCTTCCCCGCACGTACTCAGTTCTGTCTTCAAAGAGTCATAGCTTCCTGAGCTGTACTGAGGAGACTGTAGAACATAGAGGATGTGCTAAAGTCAAAACCTCCATCTGAACGCCATTATGCTTATTAGTACTTGTTACAGTAATAAATACACATTTTTTAAATTATGCGGAAAAATGTAGTCTCATACCTTGTTATTGTACTCAGTTTTCACAGGGAATTTTCTGTTAGGGTCAGATGAGTAGGATCCAAGCGTTACTCCGGGTAACAGTCGGTCACTCAGGTTGACAGGCTGCTGTCCCTCCTGTGAGGAAGAGGACGACGAAGTAGTGCTGAAGTCCAGCGGCGCTGCGGCACCATTACCGTTCACCTCACCGTATGGAACCACCCCCTCAGATGCAGGAACTCCTCCAGTCGCCATGGCAGCACCACCAGGCGGAGTCAGTGCTGGGAGACCGTTAACTGTGCTGCTATTCTCTGAAGAAGAATCATCTGAGAAAGACAGAAATGTTTGAATGCGTGTTCATAAAGTCGCACACAAGTGGATGCGGGGTCTAGATGTGTGTGCATCAGTGTACGTCTAACGGGGGAAGGGGAGTGTGTTGTGTGAAGGTTTTTGTGTGAACAGGACAGCAGCATTGGGGTCAACTGTCAAACCAGTGGAAGGAGGCAGAGGTGAAGAGAGATACAGCAGGATGAGGGGAATGAGATGGATGTGGGGTTCTAACAGAGTGTCTTAGTCGATGGGAGGAAGTATTTGGAAAAAAAAGAGAGCATAGAGGGGGAAAGGTGTGGGGGGGGGGGGGGGGGGTGGCCCTTGTCCACCCAGAGAACAGAACAAGAAAGAGATGAAAGACATGCTGAAAAAAAATAATAAAATAATAACGTGGGATGGCCAGACATCATTCTGCTTGTACGCTTCTACGCTGCAAAACACATTTTTATAGATTCAGTAAAAAATATGTACACTAAATATCCAGTAAAAAATATGTACACTACTATTCAAAAGTTTGGGTGGGTAAGACCAAAAAACATTAATATTATTAAAATGTAAAATAACTGCTTCCTTTTTTATCTATATAATATTTTAAAATGTATTTTTCCCCTGAATTTTCAGCATCATTACTCCAGTCTTCAGAAAATGATTTATGCTGATTTGGCGCTCAAGAATATTGTTTATTATTATCAATGTTGAAAACAGCATATTTTGTGGACTTTTTTTCAGAATAGAAAGTTGAAAAGAACAGCATTTATTTAAAAAGAAATCTTTTGTAACATTATAAAAGTCTTTACTGACACTTTTGATCAATTTAATTAATATTTTCTAAATAGAAGTAAAAAAAGAAAAAAATCGTACTGACCCCAAACTTTTGAAGAGTCGTGTAAACATTCCTAAAACAAGGGAACTTTTCTTAAGAAGCAAAAAATAAGAAAGAAATATATCTTTAAAAGTATTTTAAGCATGATCACCGTTCTATGCTTAAAAGAAAATTACTAAAACATTACATTAACATTTTAATTGATTTTTAATTCAGCATACGTTCTCTGAAAATTCTTCTGAAAAGTTTTCATATTTAATGCAATTTTGCTTATAGCAGTAGAAACAGTTAGTTTAAAGATTTATTTCTATATAGCCTTTTAAATGACTTGCACTTGTGTAATGTAACCATTTTGATTCAGTCATTAAATAATATATTTGAACCTTAACTCAGATATTCACACAAAGTACATTTAGATTATTTTTTGGATATCCAATCAGGCATTGACAGACACTGTGTGGACAATGCTATTGGCCTAATGAAAAATATCAGGAACTAATGACATAAACACAGAAAAGGACGGCTCCTCTCCGAAGGCTGGGTGACTGTAATGGTAGAGTGTGGGTTAAATCATCATTCTCTTGCCCTGTGTCTCTCTAAACAGCACAATAGTCTGCCATGAGTCAAGGGAGGGATCCATTAGTGCATGGTTACATTTATATAGAGTACAGGATGGGAAAAAGACTCATTATTTTACAAAACACAAGCAGTGGATCGTAAACACATCCCATAACAACCACACCAGACAGTGCATATATCAAAATTACAAAGAAGATCTGAGTAAACAAGGGCAGTACTGATAGCCACATGTGTCTTTGGGAGAACACACGTGATAACGGCAGGGAATGAAAGCTATATTAAATTAATAAACCAGTCCCATACAGTCTGAATGTGCTTTCTCCACCTAAACCGTGTTTTCAAGAGGCAAATTCTCACTTTATAGAGAACATTTACCTTTAAAGTTGTTACCTTTAAAGACACCATGACATTGTTTGATGTGCAGTTTTTTAAAACCGGAAGTTGGAGAGACATATCGCAGCCCACCCATCCTCACCACCTCCTTTTTTCACAACAAAGCGAAATAGTGCTTTAGCTATGGCTTTAGTGACCTCACAGACATGAATCATACTGTAGGCTGCAATCCAAACATGCATCCTTTCCTATATACTGTATATAAGTGTCTGAATTCATAGAATTTAAAAAAAACAGTAGGCAAAAAGTACCCAGATGATTTACTTTGGGTGACATTCTGAAGTATGTATCCAATGGACACTTTACAATCCCATGAGGCCATGGGAGAAGAGTGTGAATGGCACAACTGATGCTGTAGATCACATGGCAATGACAACATGGCGAGTACAGTATGTCCATATTGCATTCTGCAATATTTGTTGTCACTATTTCAGGAAGAGAAACCTTTGTGAGAACATGAATACACTATTGTTCAAAAGTTGGGGGTCAGTAATATACTTTGTATATATATATATATATAACCCAAACTTTTAGTACTGTAGAATAGATGACTTAAAAAGCTAATGCATATGAAACTCAAATTTTGATTTTACAGCACATTTAAAAAACTATTCCCACCTGATTTAACCATAAAAATAAATGTGGTTGCTGTAACCAAAAGCAATCAGGTTGATTCAGTCATTTTTCATCATATAATAATTTAAATGATTATTATTCACTTTTTAAATTGTAAATATTTTGTTTGTTTTAACATTTTTTAAAAGTGCAGATACAAACAACATTTTTACTTTGAATCTGAGACAGCAATAAGTCAGACATGCTAAAACCAGGCAAGCTTACGATATTGAGCAGAGGGGTAACCTTTATGACCACCATTCGTAAAAAAATACTATCATCCCTCTTTAGGATAATTCCCAGAGGGGCCTCTACAGCTGTCCGTCAAGGGTAAGGTGCACTGAGCATGTGCACAGCCCTTTAGTCACTTTTTCTCTCCTTATGATGGAGTAGGTTGACACACGTCTATGTGTGTGGCCAAGCTGTTCCCTGCAGCCCCCTCGGTGCAAGATTACGCAGGATTGACCCACAAAGAGGCGACCCAAGCTGCTTCCTCCTATCTACCCAGTAAGACCCTTGACTGTCCCAGCAGCCATTTTAAAAAGCATCTCCACATCCCCCTCCCCCTGCCCTCATCCTCTTCTCTCCTGCCCCATTCATTCTCCACCCCAGCCCCCTGCACTCAGCTGAATAATAGACAAGACAGAGGGAGCGAGTGCTGGGGAAAAGCAGGAAGTGTGTTCAATTCAAAAAGGGGGCAGGGTCAACAACCTTGGAGTCTTGCAGTTGTTTACCCTCATTCGCAAATATGGGAGCCTTTGCCAAAGATTATTGTACACATTCTGTGTTACAGATAGGATATATATATATATATATATATATATATATATATATATATATATATATATATATATATATATATATATATATTGGTTACATGAATAATGATACTGATGATAAAGATGAAATAACAGTATATAGATAATATTCAGATTTAGCATAGAATAGATTCATTAATTTGTCATAGAGTATTAAATTTGTCTAAATAAATTTGTATTAAAATCTATCTATCTATCTATCTATCTATCTATCTATCTATCTATCTATCTATCTATCTATCTATCTATCTATCTATCTATCTATCTATCACAGAAAATTGAGATTTACACACATTACAGAACTTGACACTGAAAATGTTCACAAACTACAATGAAAAAAATAAGTCTGTCTCCACATGGCTCTGCATACCCCAGACTGGAATCCATTTAATCCATATCCATTTAACTGGAATCTGTCCATAGAGTAATGGAAGAGAGCAGGAGAGGCTGGAGTGCTGGGAAAAGGGCTATAATGGGCCTTCAGGCACCTCTTCAACATCAGCTATAGACACTTATCAGACTCTAACCAACACAAAGTCTTCTCTGATAAATGCTGACAAACATTGGTAAAAGGTGGCTGTTATTTCAATGAAATGCACAGCTACAGAAACACAGTGTGAGTGAGTAAGAGACATCGTACCTTCTTCCTCTTTTATGCAGGGCTGTGGGGGTGTAGGCATCCTCTCTGTGTACGGGGCGGTGGGGCTGCTAGGCTCTGCGGCTGGAGCACGCTCAGTAGAGACCCATGCGGGCTCAGCCATGTCCAAATCCTCACTGCTTACCGAACTCTCATCCTGTATGTGTGTGAGAGAGAAAGAGAGGGGGGAGGAGGAGGAAGTCAGAGAGCTCAGGATATTCTGTGCACAAAATGAAGCTCACCCATCCCACTATCGCCTAGACATCACTAGATTCTCCCATATCTCCTCCACAGCATCTCGACACAGGCGAAGTCCTCATACCTGTGTCAAAATGAGCACTCTAAATTTCCTATATTTCCTGTTTGGTTCAACCATGCTGCTATTAGTAAAATTGTCAAGAAACATCTCATTGAGGAAACTCCACATTCTGGGATGTGAGATGGAAAGGGACAGAAGGAGGAGACTCTTAAATAATGAGTGAATACGAGGGGAGCTATTTTTAACCCTGTTGGAGCCCAATCATTGGAAACCCAAAAGATGCACACGCAGGATGAGAAGAACACAAGATATGTATTGTTTTCTTCAGGAATCATGTTCTAGTTGGGAGTTGCTGAACAACATTTAGTACACACAGTTCATTGCATGCACATATTTTTGTTTTTTGGAGTTTTGAAAAGTATGCCTTCACAGCAGCGTTACATTTCCAGTGTTGTTATTGTTAACTAAAGTTTGGTATTTGAAATAAAGCTAAAATAAAATATTTAAAAATTACTAAAACTGAAATAAATATTAATTACAGTAAAGCTATATAGAAATATAAAAAAAACTACTAAATATAAAAAATACAGAACTTTTTTAATACATAAAAAATACAAAAACTGAAAATATAAAAATAAAAGCCAATTCAAAATATTGATTACTAAAATACCATAATAACACTAAATTTCAAAGTCTTTTAAAATTTAGTCAGTGTTACATAATGGGTCCATCTTTATATATATATATATACATACACAGGGATATGAATAAGTTTGGACACCCATGCTAAAGTTGCCTAAAAAGAGGAATAAAAAATCATCTTTTGGATATTGATCTTAATGCCTAAATTAGAAAAATGAGGAAAACTCCAACCTTTAAGGACACAAATTTCCTTTGTGAATGAATAATGTATCATAAATAAATAAATGTTTTTCCTTAAAATACAGGGTGCATAAGTCAGGACACCCCTATGTTAAATTCCCATAGAGTCAGGCAGATTTTTATTTTTAAAAGCCAGTTATTTCATGGATCCAGGATAATATGCATCCTGATAAAGTTCCCTTGGCCTTTGGAGTTAAAATATCCCCACATCATCACACACCATTCACCATGCCTTGAGATTGGCATGGTTTTACTTCAGTTAGCCTAATAGCTGGTTTGATTTGCATTAAAAGATGATCTTATGCAAAGTACCCCATGCCAATCTCTCCTTAAAGGTTGGAGTTTTCCTCATTTTTCTAATTAAGGCATTATGATCAAATTCCAAAAGATTATTTTTTATTCCTCTTTTTAGGCAAATTTAGCATGGGTGTCCAAACTTATTCATATCACTGTATATATATATATACTGTATATATATATATATATATATATATATATACATTTACACTTAACACTTATTCAGCCTAAACATGTTTTTAAATATGATCTGCATTATCTATGCATGCTGACATACTGTATATGTGCTAGAATAAGAATAAGTGCGGATCCATGTTTAGCAGGCTGAAGGCATAGCAAATTACGTCGTGACCCTTGTCTTCACCTACGCTATAGGCGTGAATGCACCTCTCTACCTCTGTTGTCATGACGATGAAGCTGTGAGAAAGTTCACTGTGACTTACAGCAGTTTCTAGAGCTTCTGTAGTTAGCATCAACGCTTTCTTCATAGCCACCCCTCAAAACCCCTCCACAAATGTTCCAGGAAAACCCATAAAACACCCTGTGCCACCCATCTGCTCAGAACAAACCATTACAATGCCACTGCTAATTTTGTAGCCCCTGGCTGAGTTAAAGACTAGCAACCACCCCCACTCATGTGTGACACTTCCTCATTCCTCACAACATCCCCTCATTTCAAAACCCAACCATCCCCCAACTGCATTAACACACACCTGAATGCAGAATTTAATTCATCTCACCCTCAAGGCCCTGGGCATCAAAATAGGCCTACTTCATTCTCAGCAGGCCACTCATACCAATTTTATTCATTACAACACTTTAACTTGTCCTGAAAATTAAAAGTAAATTCTACTTACTAATTAGCACAATTTTCACAAATATCACATTCCCAAGATTCTTTCTCTTACAACACACACACACACACACACACACACACACACACACACACACACAAACAAATCCGGCCTCTGTGTCCCTGATTCTGTGTTTATTGTTACCATGGTAATCTGAACAGTAGAGCAGGCTGAAAGAATGTAATCATCAGTGATGAGAAATGCAGGTGTGTAAAGATGTGTGTGTTAGAGAGAATAAAAAGTCACTGTGAATTGCCTCTCAATGTGCCTCTCAAACACACAGGTTCACTCCCATTTTCAGCACTGCACTGCTAACAGGGAGGAGTTCTGGGAACCCACAGATGAGATAATGGTCACAAATTAACTGATGTAACAGAAGATTTATCAAGCATCAGATTAGTTTGAGCTTGAGACCCCTGTTGTTCTGAAACGTACAGTATTGTGACAGAAAGCCCGAAGCCTGAAAAATTTGGTCACATGGCGTTATGCTGGTCATCATCATGATCCCAACATTTATTATCTAAAGTACAGACTGAAACCATGACAGGTGTTTTTTTGTAAAAGTTATTCCACACTGTCCTATACAGCTGTGAACCAATATGCAAGCATGTGGTAACACACAGAGAGACACACACGTGCTGTAAACATTTGTCCATGTGATTCATAGAGTTAGCCTTGTGAAAAATTGGGTTCCCTCTGAGGTTTGTTTAGAGGACTGATGTGTGCGGTGCTGACTCCATTAGGTACCAAGTAGAGCATCAGTAACACAAGCAATGAGAAAGAGAGAAGAAAAAGACAGGAGCAAAAAAGATCAATGTAGTCACAGGAATTAAAGGTGCATGTAAAACAATAAAGATGGAGATGAGAAGATGATGAAGAAAATAAACTTAGTAAAAAGATGTGATTTAGTCAAGTAGGCCATAAATGAATATTAAACAAACAGAAATTGTGTGCACTTTTAAATCATAATTTCTGTATGTAAAAAAAAACACTTAAAAAATATTGTTTTTGTAAAAAAAATGCATTCTATTGATTAAAAGTGACAATAAAGTCTTTTACAAATTATATTTCAAATAAATGCAACATGTGAACATAAATGCAAATGAAACAACATGTGACACAGCAGTAATGATGCTGAAAATTCAGCTTTGCCATCACAGGAATAAACTAGCCTACTTTGTAAAACATTAAAACCAAAATTTTATTTTAAATTGTAAAAATATCTCACAATATTTCTGGTCAAATACATGCAGCCTGGGTGAGCACAAGAGGCTTCTTTCAAAAACATGCTATAGACCCCAAACTATTGAATGGTAATGTCACAAATAATAATAAATGGTTCTGCTCCATGGGGATATTTACTTGTAAACCTCTGAGTATACTTTAAAGATTTGATTGCACTAAACTTGCAAACATTGACAAATCCAGTGATTATTTTACCCTCAACAGAATTCATTGTATCAGCCTGGTACATTTGTTTCCTGGTTGACTAACAAAACAAAACAAAAAAATCCTGTGTGCCCCCACTCCAGAAGTTGCGTAAATCCAGCCAATTAAAATTAAGCATGCCAGATGGAGAAAGTGCAAAATGCATCTGAAATCACTGAACAACAGACGGCCTGGTTGGTGTGCTGTCTGAAGGTAAGACCACTCTAAACATTCCCTTACAATCTGAGTAACAAAAATTATTTGTTGATAAGAACGTTGTTTGAACCCCTACCCTAGCCCTAATCCTATATTTAGCACCAAAATCTGATTGGTTGATAGGAATGTTGATCCCAGAACACATTCTATAGTTAGGTGAATTACATTAAACAAAAGGGCAATAAAACAGACAACTCCAAACAATCTTCAACCAAAGCAATCTGATTGGTTGCCACCTGACATGCAGACGAATAATAGTACTTTAAGTTTTTGTCTCATATTTACATATACTTATTTTAGATCTTATTGTGTTTTATTTTGAACATGAAGAACAAGTAAGCTTAAACAAATACAACAATTCTATTCTCATAATAAGTCTAACAAGTGTAGTTTTCTAAGTGCACATATTGCCCAGAAAAATTCACGTTTTTTCCCCTGCTCTTTGTGACCAAAAAAATCATCCGACTCCATGCAGCTTAGTTTCATTCATAGAGAGTGGTACAATAGCGCCCCCTGGACGCAGACCTGAAGGATACCTACACTAAAAAAATATTGTTAGTTTAACTTAAAATAAAAAACCAAGTAACCTGGTTGCCTTCGAATTTTAAGTTCATTGAAAAACATTTTTTTTTGATATAATGAAAGAGATTGGTTTAATCAACAGAAACTCAAAATATTATGTTATCTGAACCACATAAATTAAGTTGATTTGACAAAAGAAAAAATGTTTTGATAAGAAAATCATGAAAATAATTTTTAAAGTGTACTAGTATTTATCTACCTATATTCCAATTAGTATAATAGTGTTTACTGCAATTATCTAAATGGGTTGTGACTTGTTTCATCAAGAAATCAGTAAAAACTGTATTTTTAAACAGCAATATATTACAATAAAATATTCAATAAAAAAAGAAAAAAGAGAAGAAAAGAAAACAAAACAAAAGAAAAATAAAATAATAAAATATTAACCTAAGAAATAAATAATGATCCAGATCTGCTATAAAGGTTTCCAGTTTCTCCAGCTCGGTGGATGTTTCTAACCTAAGCTGAGGCAAGGGCAATGCAGCATGTCACAGGTACACAAAGGCCTTTAGTCTTTCTTCTGGATGTTTCACTCTTTGCATGTAATCTTAGAAAACAACAATGCCATTAAGTGAGCTATAAATGCATGTGACCCCGTGATGTATCCTGAGCTTCCTCCTATGGACATATTCTACAGTGAGAATATTCTCTAAATATGTGCTCTTTAGTTGCAGCTATACAATTACATTCATGTACTGTTTAGTTCAGTGCTATAAGGAACTGTCTTTCACAAGGACGGGGGTTGTGTGTTTATCATCACCCCATTTATATAGCACAGTGACCCACAGACACATTCAGCTCTTGCTATTCCAGGCATCCACATATACTGTTGCTGAGGCAACCATGTCTATATGAGTTTACCTTGACAACCACACATTGCACCACAAGGACTTGTCACAGTTCCTTTGAGCTGAGTGACTTTTACATTCAATTCTTTGCCCAGATACTAAGGAATATTTAGCATCACAATACCATATTGACTCTAAAACTCAGGAGCAGTCAGCAAACACACAAACCAGTAACAACGTGTCAATACTAAATATTTTAAACTTAATAAACATTTTTTTTTTTTAAACGGACAACTTTGATGTATTGTAAAACAAAGCTTTTTTTCTCTCTTCAGTGCTCTTGTATCTCTCGCTCTCTACCTACCTGCTCATTAGTGTTCATGCACTGTAGTTTCATCTGTTTTAGATAGGTGGCAGTGAGAGGCATGTTGTAGTCGATGAGGTCTGGGACAAGAGAAGTGGGCCGGTCATTCTCTGTGGGTGAAAAACAACAAAAGAAGTTACATTTAAATTTTTACTTTCACATTTTTTCATGTTTATACATCAATATACATACTACCGTTTACATACAATACATACAAAATATGCTCACCGAGGCAGCATTTATTAAAAACAGCAATACTGTGAAAATTACTGCAATTAAATGTAATTTATTCCTGTGATTGTAAAGCTGAATTTTCAGCAGCCATTAATCAATCTTGCTCAAGCACTCAATAAATATTTCTTATTATTATCAATAGTTGAAAACAGAGTTGCTGTTTAATATTTTTGTGGAAACAGTGATACATTTTTTCACGGTTCTTTACAAAATAACAGCATTTATTTGAAGCAAAAATCTTATATTATGAATCTTTTTAGTGACATTTGTATCTATTCATTGCATATTAGTCGAATAGAAAAATCCTTTTCCTTTTTTATTCTTTTTTTTAAGCTCGCTGACCCCAAACTTGAACGGTAGTTTGTGTGTGTGTATATATATATATATATATATATATAAATAAGTGTATAAATAATTTTCTTCAAAAAGCTAATTAGTTAAAAATTGGTAGCTAATTCATAAGACTTTCCTACTTGTATTCAAAATGGTTTCACTCAATCCCATTCTCAATAGTGTGCATGACTTCAATCCCCTAGAAGGCGCTCTTGAGACAGCGCTCCAACAGAGCCTGCTGAAACCCCTCGGGTCTTTGTTAAAATCAAACACAATAAACACAGACCGGCTTTTGTTTGGATACAGATCTTCAGACTCTATACAGAGTTCCCAGTTGCAATATAGTGTGAACAGTTCAATAGCAATTTTTATTCTATATAACCTGCTTTGGAGAGCAGGGATGTCTCTTCCCTTCAGAACCCCTGCAGGCAGAAGCTGGTCTGCTAATTCACTATTCAAAGTTTGTTCAACATTTGTTCCCCACAAATGCATAAATTTGGTTGTGCATGTGAAAATCGTTTTTTGTTTACTTGAATTAGGTTATGAGTTTAAGCATTGCACTTTGCAAATGTATAAACTGACACATTGGTGAATCATTTTCTTAAAAAAATTGAAACTATTTTAGCTCTTTAGAAATCAAGCTTATCTGTGGCAGTGTGAATTAGTCACATCAGCCGGTGATTAATGGCAGACCAACATCACGTCTACGCAGATAGAAACAGCACATAGAGTACATTACCTCAGAGCTTTTGGAAAATGACACTTTCTGATTCGTGTTCAGGGAAAGATCTTCACTGCTGACACTTTATGACAATAATGAAGTTGTGATTGTAACAGCTCTACTGTCTGAATTATAAATGATGATGCAAATATCCAGAGAGAAAGCATATTTGAAGGTCATCACATGAGCGTCTGCTATGTCATGTCTCGAAGGATTGCGTGCATATTTCCTTTAGCGTTATTTTTTCTTCTTTTTGTTAATCAGATGTTTACTGAGGGAAGCGCGTGGGTCGGATTATCCATGCATTAATTACAAGGGCCCCGTAAAAGCGCAAGATTGTAGTCTTCAAAAACAGTGTGAATTTAATGAACATTTTGGAATCCTAATCTTTCCTAATTACCGCTAAAGGGTAATGCACTCCCAAAACTTTAATTAATGATGAAATGAACAAAAAACAACCAATTTACTCAAAGCGGCACATATTCATGTGCAAGGTGCAAAATCATTAAAAATGGCAGATCTAGACATGAAAGTGCAAGAATGGTGCCTGACCTTTGAACTCTGCTGTGCTGGGGTTGATGTGCATCCTTTTCTGGCATTCTCCACAGCTCATCAAGAAACGAGTAACCGCCTCACGTGGAAGAAATGCGTAGGTCTCTGCAATCTGACAACCAAAAAAGAGAAGGGAAAGAAGTCCGATATTTTAGAGATTAAACAGAGAAGCAGAAACAAGGGAAAGTATCCACAAAAATAGTTTGCTGTATACCAAAACCCACTGAGGATAAAGGGTCTGCATGCAACATGAAGGATGTTCACTTAGTTGGGTTCAGAACTAGGGTGTAGGGAGCAAGGAACCACAGTAGGTTTTTAAACAGAGCTATTCATTTTCATACTAATGACAACATAACTGCAACATATACTATATAAACTCATTTCTAACAATGCCTACTTAGCAATGCCTCCCTTTTCTTCTTTTACCTTCTCCAAATCTTCTAATCTTTTCTGGTCTCTTTCATCCCTTTGCCCTCTCCCTCCTCTCTCTTTTACTCTTGCTTTCGTCTCCTGGAGGCTTTCTGTGTGCGACCTTCACACAGAGAGGGTGATCGAGCAGTAGCAATGGCAGGCCCTCCACCCTCCCCCCTTAGGTGGCACAGAGGGAAAAGGCCAACCAGGGAAAACCGCACCTCCCAGAATGCCATGCTACCAGACTGCCCCCTCCTCCCAGACTGGCAGGGCTGGTCTCTGTGGGCTGCTTGTGCTATGAGACCTGACAGCAGGGCTCTCCAGGGCACTGGCTGAGAAGAGGAGGTGAACATTACCCCAAGGACATTGTGCAGCCCCTGCCACCCCCGCACACACACATGCAAACAGTTTTTTGCATCCTCAGTATTGGGGGTGCTCCCTCAGCCCTCGTGTGTTCGAAATAATGAACCAGTCATCTTCAAAGAAATAAGCTGAGGTCCAGTGTGACAGAGAACATTGTAAATGCGCAAAAACATTAATTTCATGTTATAATAAAAGACAAAAAAAATGCTTGAAATCTCAAGGAGCGGTGTGGGTGCCCCTTCAGTGGCCTCAATCTCAATACAGCATCACTGCAGTCCCATCAGGCCACCACTAGAGGGCAGTATGCAGATAGCAGCAGTATTTGAAAGGGTAGTGGGACAGGATGAGAAAGGTGATCTGGAACAATAGTATGCAGGGTTGCCAACTCTCACGCATCTGGTGTGACACTCACGCTTTCAGCATCAATCTCACGCTCTCACGCACACGCAAGAAATGTCACGCCAAAATTCATTTTCTCCCCTCTCAATCTGTTAATTTTCTGTTGATGACTAGACCACAGCGTATTAATGACAGGAGAGGAGTTTAAGGCCCACAGCTGTAGCATCTGCCTACAATGTTGTTCACAGTATTCTCTGATCGTTGATTTGCTGAAAACCTTGCACTCGATACGTCAGTTGTGTGAGAAAAGCTTAGGCTTGTTTGAGATGAGCAAAATCTGCGCAGAATCGATCACCGGTGATCAGCGCGAGATGCATGCCGGTTAGAAATGTGTCCGAGAACGGTCCGCCTGGCTCTGATGTCATGTCGACGTATGTCAAAAAAAACTCTCGCGAGCGCAAGGCGCACCTGTCGGATTCTGCAGTTGCGCGCAGTTGCTCTCCACCGACTGCGCTGATCAAAAGCATGATGGGAAACGACTTGCTGACGACACAGCTTAATGCTCATTGGTTTAAACAACAGTGATGAAGGTAAATTCCATATTCATTAAGCTAAATTCTCCAAATCAAGGCCATGTTTTATTTATTTATTTATTTATTGAAACTGATATATATTGTGAATCTCTTAAACGGGTTAAAAATAAGAAAGCTAGTCAGTAACTCAAATATACTAGGCCTACTCTAAAATGTTCAAGTGAAAAATAGCTCTCATTTTATAGATGATGAAGTTTGTAAGTCTGTCTATTTAAGCTAAGCTTATTTTGATTTATTTATTTATTTTATTATTAATTTTATTCTGATGTTTATTTATTTGTCGCTGTGTAATAGGCCTATTTGTTTCACGAATTGTAGTGCTTGTAGGTAGGCTATGTTTGTAACTTGCATTCTAATAAAAAGTAAAATAAATAAAAATAAAAGAACAACAGATGAATTGTTCTCTTTTAAAATGTTTGATTTTAAAACTGATATCATGTTTTATGTGTATACATATGGGTGACTAAACTCTCTGACAGTGCCATATGGGTTATATTTCATTTTTGTTAAAACAATAGGCTATATAAAAACACGTCTGTATTAAAGAAAAAAAAAGATTGATAAACACATATTTGGAATGTAATTAAATAACAAGTACTTTGGGTGTCTTGTTCATTATATTTATTTTTATATAAAAGCAACAGAACTTAAATCACATCCAGTTTATTAGCAACACGTGCACGAGCGTGAATCCCGTTAATCCCGCGATATCCGCCTTTGATCTCACAGGTGTCTGATTCACTGCGAGAACCGCGCTTTTTTCACTCCTCCTCTAACTGCAGCCGCGGCCTACTCTCGACTACATTGCAGGCGAGGCGAGGCGCATCTCAAACAAGCCTAATGTCAAAGCGAGTTCAGGGCATAGGTTCGGAGTCGTAGCCGACTGAGTTTGGATTACAATCAAGGTAAGCAGATAATAAAATGGTGTGCCTTGCAGGGGCGTGGTAGTGGGGGGAAAAGTGGACCTGACTACCCAGGGCCCCGTCTAGGGAGAGGGCCCTTTGAAATCCCACCAATTTTTTTAAAAAAAAAATGTTAAAACCTAATTAGAATTAATTGGGCCCTCCAATTGATGTCATTAATAATAATTTAAAAAAAAATATTGACCAAAATGAACTCAGTGCCAGACACTCCGGACCCCCTTCCAAATGGTTTAGTCCGCAACGCGTCGACCGCCCATAGACGCAGCGGGCGGCAAACAAGTAATAACGCAGTGAGTCTAGAGCTTGTAACGGGAGCCTGATCTGATCATGCTGTGCAAAAAGCCCAAATCGGGCTTTAAAAAAAAGAAAGAGAGGAAAGAAAAAGATGGGAGGCAGAATGCGGGGAAGCAGCTGATGACTGCTTTCTTCCCAAAAGGTGAACTGAGTTTGCTATATGCACCTAACGTTACATCCAATTAAAGTTAACGTAACTTATTCAACTCCAGACAGCTGCTGCTAATGCAGGGTTCCAGAGTGCGACCAAATTGGTCTCATATGCGACCATTTTTTTGAGAATTTGATTGTGCGAGTTAAAATTGTATGTGATGTGGTCGCGTCGCATATATACGAGTGGACGCTCGCGCAAAAGAACACCGACCGTTGTATCAGCTGCTGCAGACTGCAGTCCGTAACTTATGTTCAAAACGAACGAGTAGGCTACATCATGAATCCATTTTCCAAACCGTGTTTTTGACTTATCCTGAATCACTACGCCTGTTATAAGTGTTTATATTCGGACTATTTTTTTATCCCGGATTCCCGGGGTTGACTCGGATGCGAAGTTGCCCAGTGACTGCGTGACTCGCCATAGACATTATGGAGAGAAGTAGCTCCGGCAACAGTGTTCTTCCGCAAGACACATAGACGTCACGCGCGCATTGCACACTGATGGTGGAACACGCCAATTACGAATTCATGAATAAAAATATAAAAATTAAAATGTCTCAGGAAACAAATTATTACAAAATGCAGGAGGTAAGGAGTGTGAGATTTTTGAACTAACTTATAAAATTTGATAACGAAAAATCTGTTTTAGCTTGTTGTAATACTCTAATCTTTTAAAATGTAATGTACATTTGAATGTTTAATGATTTTTAAAAGATAGAAATATGATGCTAATAGAAAAATGACAGACACAGAAGATTATGATTCAAATGTAAATAGAATTGAATGTAATTCAAATGTAAAATTCTTAAAATTACAGATTTAAATTACTGTCCAAAATCCATGAAAATCCTGAAATTTGGCAATGATAATTAATATATTACAGGTATTTATGGTAAGCCTTTGCTGGCTTTGGTCCATTAAAACCACTATTCATCGGCATGCATTGATTAATCCCATGGCATGTAGTAGTGACGTAGCCTTGCCTAATCAGTCTGTGTGCCGAGAGTACAGACTTCAACTATAGTTGCAAACGATGTCGGAAGTGCGTTATGTGGGCTAGCTAATTGCTCAATGAGAGTAGGCTCATGGTACAAATTACGTTTTGGCAAATCGGGCAAGTGGCATTTTAAAATTCCCTAAAAATTATCAAACGTTGTCCACTTTGTGTTGAGCCTGCCACACTCAAATGCAGATGCTGAGCGAACCTTTTCAGTTATTGGGCTAAACAAGACTGACACCAGGCTGTCACTTGATGGCACCCTGGGATGGAGAGTTCGGATCATTTTACTGACTCGCTTGTTCGATCAGGTTCATTAAAATGAACAAATTCATTTAAAGGGTTTTAAATGTTATACTTACTTTTAACAGCCAAATTCCCCTAACACCTACGCAGTCTTTATCATATTCTGAATTAAGAAATCATTATAATGCAGTCAAAAATAATTTACACAGAACATAATTAATTACTTTAGCTTCCGAGTCTTTCGTTCATTTGTCACGAGACGGACGCAATGAACGGATTGTTCATGAATGGATCGAACCTTGCTTTAGATAAACCTCTTGCTGAGGCAGAGAAGCAGGCCAAACTGCCACTGTGGCATATATATAACAGGCCTAATTTGTGAAACTAGTGTGTTGTGGTTTTCTGGGGAGGTGGAGTAACTATTATGTGTCCCTTTTGTTTTGAGATTGTTTAGATGTTGTTATTTTACATGTTTGTTATTTGATATTTAATCACCTCTTTCTTTATTTTTTTATAGTGCAATCAATAAATTAATTGTACATTTTGAAAAAAAAAATTGACATTTTTAAAATTAGGGTTTTCTCCACGTGCTCACTGAAATTTTACAGTCTCACTCCAGCCAAAGTCCCAATGTTGACAACCCTATATGTCCCAAAGCTTGCCCACTCTACTGCTACACACTCAAAAGTATGCACTTTTTTTCACAATCAATATTACATACTTTGAGGGCATAATATAAGTATGCAAATTTTTTATTATTATATTTTAGATTATTTTATTATGATATACAATCTAAATAATTAATAATGAATATACTATATTATTTTTCAATAATAAATTGATTATTATATGAATTGCCCCAAAATTGTGTTGTAATATTGATATACAATAGAAATAAATGACATAATAAATTCATCTGCAATAACTATTTCTGTCACTCAGTTACTGGTGTGGATTTCATTGCAGACCTGGCACATATCACCATCAGTGTCCTTAGACTCAAAGGCTCAGGCAGCATTTGGGATAGGGTCACGGATGTAAAAATGTAGGCTTCTGGACATCACCAATCAGAGTCAGTAGCAGCTAATTATACAGCCAATTAAAGTCAGTTCAACCAGAGCAAATCAAGCCAATCAGAGCTGATTTCTGAAGGTAATAGCCAATTGGTGAGACCTTAGAATGTTCTGATCTTTGCTTGTCTGATAGTCCAGCAGTTTAAGAGTGGTTCAATGTGTGCCAAATGTCAAAAACATGGCTATCAGGCAGTTAATTACTTTAATTAGGTGATTAGCACAAAGCTTAGTGGGGGCTGGAACCCAACACCTGCTTTCACACACCAAGGAATCACAGCACAAGAGAGCATATTCAAGCATACAAGGTGCACACTTACATATCCCCATCTACCTTTACAAGAATATATGTTAAAGGACCGTTCACACCAAGAGCGATGACTATAAAGATAACTATATTAGTGTCAACACAAGCGGACGATATCGTTCTGTTTATTCTAAGCGCGTGCTTGTCTGCCGCTTTAAATGCTCGAGCCCCTTAAAGCATGCAGGATGGATTCTGATTGGCTGTCAATGTTTTTATAATTCTTCAGCTTGACAAAATCATTCTAAAAAAGTTTTTCCAACGATATTCTGTTCTGTTATCATTATAGCTGTGGTGTGGACTACTTTAATATTGAGAACGATTTTTAAAACTATATCTATTTTCGTTATCTTGACAGTTGCCGTCCTTGGTGTGAACAGGCCTTAAGTCTAGTTTCTGTGTTCAGCTTTACTTGGATCAGATGCTGCATTATGTTGTACTTCGTGTCATTCTCCCTCCCATATTATCAAATAATAAGCAACATAATAACTAAATGCATTCTGAATGTATGTACTAACTGCTTATAATCACACATTATAAGCAGAACAATGACAGATGTTGATTTTTGGCAAGGAAAAAGCCATTTATTTGCTTGTGATATTACCATCGATAAATAAACATGAGTGAATCAATAGAGATACTCATGTGTGTCTGTGTTTATCTCTACAGCCCATAGCTACTGTTACAGCCACGTCTTCGGTTTCCGCCATTTTCAAATATAATAACAACAACTCCTCTCCCGTGGCATCATGGGATAGTAAAATGTCCGACTCCATCGTATGCACACTTCAGAATCTCGCCGGAAGTAGTAGGTCATCCGGGTACTTTTCGCCTACTATTTTTCGAATTCTATGATTTCGGACATACTACTCTGCTCGCGTACTGTTTTTCGCTACAACTATATAGTAGGGAAGACGCAGCCATTGTCTTACTTAGGACTAGGACTACATAGAACTAGGGCTGCACAATTTGAGGAAAGAATCTAATTGCAATTTTTCTGATAAAAAATATTATTGTGATTTAAAATGTGATTTTAAAAACAAAACAAAAAAAGTTTCCTATACTTGTTTTTAGGACTGCACAATTTGGCCAAAATGTTGTTATTACTGTATAAATCAATATGACTGGAATAATAACAAAATATTTCAATATTTTAATATTTGTACAAGTTAAAATATAAGAAATATAAGAATGTTTAAAAAAAAAAAATATATATATATATATATATATATATAAAATTTTATTTTACTGTATATCTGTAAAAAAGCTCATTCTAAAATTAAAGACTGTCCTAATTTCTTTATTTTCAAATGTTAAACAATCAAGGATTTATTTTGGTGGAAAAAGGTTTATGTGCTCCTCTCATAACAAGTTTTGGGAAGTTGTTCGATTCATGTTAAAGAGATTCATGTCACTTGGAGACATTGAAAACACTGTATGATGCGCTGAAACATACAGCGCATTTCGCAGTCATTGCGGTTTCAGATTAATCGTGCAACCCTACTGTGAACTACAGAAGTCCTGAGTCACGAAAGGCCAAACTCTGAGCAATACAATTTTCCCCTGGGCTTGGCGAGCCAAGCAGCTTTATATAAGTCCCATGATGCAATACTTGTCACTTGGGTCTTGTCATGTTTGACAGCTTGAGAGGTAGTGATATTGACTTATATCGGTGGGTCAGACGGGTTCAGGTTTGAAAAGATTTTAGATTGCGTTAGATTGTTTTTCACAAACGTGGGTGGGTGCGAGTCAGAAAGATCTGGACAGTACATCACTAGTATGCATTTGCTGTTATGGTGTAAATCCACAAAACAGTGTTCCACTTGACTCCTTGCTAATTTAAAGTCTATAACAGCTGAACAGTGCGACAGGTGTTTCAAAATGGCTGCTGTTGCCCCAGCAACAGCCTCTACTCATTATAGTTAATCAGATGTTCTATTTAAAGTTGCTTCTGTGGTCGTTTAAATAAATAGAGTGAGGGCAGTTTTGTACATTGCTGCACATGAAGCCTATGTTGCATATACTTTTTTATAGCAAGAGAAAGGATTTCACTTATGTGTGTCTTGACTATATATTATGCACTGAATGATTGCGTCTCACCGCCTTATAGGTCTTTTTCTGGCCGGCGTGTTTGGGTGCTCTACTAGGATCCGCCCCCATCTCAACGTGCATGGCATAGATGATATCAAAAAAATCCTCCACTACAGCCACCCGCTTCAAGGAGCTGTCCTGGGCCGCTCCTCCATCTGAACACTGCTGAAAGACAGAGAGAAAAGATGATTAAAAAACAGAGGTATGGTCAACATTCAAAAACTATAGCTATGTTCATACTGCAGGCAAATGCACGTCCCAAATCTGATCAGAATTTCGCAAATCTGTTTTCTCTTTAAATGAAAGTGTGAACAGCACAAACTAAGAGGAATCGGATCTTTTCAATTCTGATTTGGGCCACTTCCACTTGTGGTCCAAAATCATATACAGGTCAGATGTTTTGCAATGCAACCGTAGTCTGAACATTCATATAGGAATTCATGCAACTTTTAAATCACGCTAGATTGATATTTGTTGTAAGATTTTACATATCAGTAGTTTTGGTGACTCGGCAGTTGGAAGGACAGTAAGAACACATAACTTAAGGAGACAGCTCTATACAAACAAGCAAATTTTGAGGGAAAGCTACAAAGCAAAATTTGCTCTTTCTTCTCATCCTCATCTTTGTCCTCCTTATTGGCCGCACAAGAATTTGCTGATTACCATGGCACATCACCTTGCACGGCGTGGCGTCTTTGGTATAAATCTTTTCCGCATGTGGACAGTTCAATTAGATTCTCACTCGAATCTGATATTGACCACATTTAAAAAATGTGAGCAATAAATAGGAATTTAGCATTAAGGTTTAGGCCGTGTGTTCACCAAAGCGTTTTTAGCCAGCTGAAAATGCCAGACGCTCTGCTGAAGACGCCGTGCTTTGGGTGCTTGAGAGCGATTTGGCAGCGCAGCGTTTTTTCCATTGAGACGTTTCGTTGCTATGATACAGAATATCCGCAGTACAGTTTGAATGTTGTGACAGTTGGTCAGTGTGGTTTAGTCCCGCCCCTCCTCCACTGTGATTGGACGACTGGGTAAAAAGTGACAGTGATGAGCGCTGCGTTTTATCCAATGTTTTTTATCCAACTCTCGGCAACCAGTAAAAAACACAGTGAAAAAAACGCTCAGCGCCTCGTTACACTCATGGCATTTAAAAAACGTGGCGCTCCCATTGAAAACAATTGAAAACATACGCCAGGCGCGTGGAAAAACGCTTTGGTGGACACACGGGCTTAGAGTATGAATGTAGCCTATGGTACCTCATATTTCACTGGCTTTTTCACAATTACTGCATGGTATTACTGGGTATTATTCAGGTTTCAAAACTTTCCACTTCACATGCAAATCCTGGGTTAATGTTTTTATTTGCATATTCATGAGTCAGTAACACTGATTGGACAAATAACAGCTCTGTATAAAAACAAATAAAACATTCTCTTCTACACTCCAGTTGCGTTTGCACAATATTTTTATGTTTCTCTCAAACACTGCCACTAAATAGCATGTGAAGGCCTCTGACAGCAGCAATGACACTGTAACCAGATGAACTCTGCATGCACCAGTCCACAGACTGGCATCTTTATGGGCACAAATCGTTACTGCTCATACATTATTTGAGTTTCTGAGTTGCATTCCCAACATTTATGCTTTGTGAGTATTGCCTTGGGATTATGGCGACTGTACGGCTGGGACAGTCTCTTTTGTGTAGTGTATTATTCAGACGTTCATTGATCTGAATCTAATATAAAGTCCTTCACAGCTCAAGAGGGTTTTTTTTACTGAATATCTCCACTGTTAGATTTGTGTGCGAGAATTGCGTTTTTTTAACCCTTTTTTGCAGCATTTTGAAAATAACTGCTTTCTTGACCACAGACACACACACAACCAGCCCCACCTCTAACCATCCCCACCTTCAACCCTGCTTTCCATAAAGCTGACCCTGTCGCTATGGCAACTGGTAGTGCTCTCGGGCAGGTGTGCAGGGCAGCGGGTCATGTGACACCTGCAGGAATTCTGATCACTAAGGCAACCTTCTTATTCTCCCAGTCCCACACAGACCCAACCGTCACCTGTTCATTATTGTTTTCACACCTTTTTCTCTGATTACTTATTTCTCAGCTTTACTTTAGAATGGCGTGTCTTTTTTTTTTTTTTAAAGTAACTGTGACTTATTTACTATAACTTTTTTATAGGTGAAATATTTAATCGTCACTAGTATTAAACTGGATTATATATTGTTTATATATTTTAACAAAGAAAATTACGTGCTCAAAGCATAACTCTTTTGTCACAAACATCTCTACTAGACTTCAATATTGCTTTCATGTTTATGTTTCCAGATTCTATAGCTGGCATAAACAAAGTCAGCTTGTATTGCATGTTTCAATCAGCAGGTGTTGTGTAAAAAAGGAAGTAGCAGTCATTATCCTTCCTCTTCATATCATTTTTTTCTCTCTCTCTCCCTCATTCTTTAACTGCACATTTTTTACTTTGATTCCCAGAGGGGGTAACGTTTTTATTTCCTCTTTTCTCCACTTGTTTTCCTTTCTCCATCATATTTTCCCCAAGACATCTGTATTTTTCTCCATCTCTCTCTCCTTTTCTTCTCCTGTCCCGCTCCATCTTTCCTCTCTCCCTCTTTCTCTCGCTCCCCCTTTCCCAAGTGCCAGGTAATGAAGGTTGCCATGGCAACTAAAACCAGCGCACATAGCGGGCTCGCTTTAATCCGGCCCTCTCCAGCCATCCAGCTTGTGCATGCGTTCCCTCCTCTTGTCATAATTATAAGTCTTATTATGCCACGATCAGTCAAACATGCACCACCCTGGTTTTCATGATCTCAGTCACGAGGTGATTATGCCACACCTATTCAGAAACCCTCTTGCTCTCTGTCCACCAGAGAATATTCAAGAAATAGTCCCTCTAGGACAAGGGACGCAGACTCTAGGACCAGACGCAGACTCCTCCAATACCTCAGAGAAGAAAGCCTCGGTTATAGCCATGGGGGGAGGACTGTGTGTTTTCTGACTCTGTCTGTCCTACAAACATCTCCATGTCAGCTCTATTGCTCCATTCGGTTGCTTTCACACATGCAATTTCAGACACAAACATTTCCTCTGTCCCCCACCATTTCCCCAATCTGAGGCCACATCACAGTCTGTGGGTGACTAAAGTAGGCCAGCAGGATCAGGGAGATCTGCTCAGCTCTAACGAAAGCCTAACTTAGTCCAGACCTGACACAGTGATGCCATTCTGCACCTATATAGATCAAAATATGGGCCAGTTCAAAGAAAAGAGAAGCAAAAACGTATTGATCGCCCCCCGGTGGCCAGTCCTAGTATACCTAGTATAACCCCGCCTCCCCATGTTATTCAACGGCACGTGAAACCAACTAAACAATTAAATTACACTTCAAATATCGTTTTTCCAAATATGGTTTCTGTCATTACTGTACTTTTTATCACGCTGATGTAATTTCAAGTGTTTGTTTTTAAAATAAGTTTGTTTTTAGTTATTTAGTTATCTGTGCAGACTCAAGTTCCAAGATGTGGAGGCTTCGCTTTTGACCAATGGAAGAGAGCGAACGGGTGTCGTCCGTTCATTTGAACCACTGTGTGTGCAATAATAACAACATATCGCACTTAAATCAACAGCTCATCACAAAATAAATCTCAATGTGAAACAGGGGCTCTGATATCACCCCAAAGTGTTTTTTTGCAATAATAAATGACTAACAGTTCATTTTTTTAATACACAGCTAAATAAACTAATAAAAAGATATGAAATATTGTATTCCATTGTACTTATCACAATAACCGTAAAGTTGAATCTAATGTAATTTAAGTAGAAATTTGCAAAATGAAATGACAGACAATAGCTGACTATTTATTTACTATGTTTAGGAACAGCAACAGTTCCTCCAAAAAAAAAAGTTTATTTACCCTCCTGTAATCTCCAGTTCATATAGAAATGGTCACCTGTTAATTGCTTTCCTCCACCTAGAGTATTTATCTTCTTAAGTGTTATTTGTGTGTGTGTGTGTGTGTGTGTGTGTGTGTGTGTGTGTGTGTGTGTGTGTGTGTGTGATTTATGTATCCCCTGTGATATTTGCACAATAAAAAAAAAAAGAAAAAAGAAAAGAAATGGTCACCTGCTTCTTCTACTGTTTCAATGACCAGCATAAAAAGGTGCATTTCTGTCACCTACTGGCCCGGAGTGCAAAGTGTTGAATGATGCACAGAGAGCATACCACGCAACCACATTTTTACTAAAAAATTACTGTACTGTAAAAAAACGGCCCTGTAAGTCATACGGCACAACGTGAATACGAGTAAATGATGACACAACTTAGGGAATCACTTGACTGCAACAATGGTGAAGTACAGAGTTCAGTGTTCAAAAATATTTACAGCAGAATGCAACGATTGACCAATCAGAATCAAGTATTCCAGAGCACTTGAAAATAGAAAGAAAGAAAAAATATCACAGAACGCTATATTGTAAACATTTCTGATTTGAAAGTGGTGGACTGTTACTAATTTGAACAGTAACCAATTGCGACTGCAGATATATGACTCACACAGTGAATGTTTTATTAACCCTGATGAGGTGAACACACTCCTCACTACTCTTCCTCAAAGCACAAAAGCGCAGTGTTTAGATTCTCAGGTTGAGCTGACTGTTTGTTCCCAACGTGGAGCAACAGCGTGTGTGTTTAATCATTAAACCACTGTAGAGCTGAACTTGTGTGTGAGAGAGGCCTGAAAGTGCACGGTTTCATCATCCTCTCATCATTTTAAAGAAGCGTTGTGAATTCTCAGCAGCAGCAATCAGTATTTCCTCTTCAACAACTCTATCTGTCTCTCTCTTTTTTTGAGACCCGGCAAGCCTTGGCTTTTTCCAGATGTGGCATTTTTTTCAATCTCCCTCTCCTCTTCTCTATCCCTCCTATGATTTTCTCTCTCTTTCTTTCCCTCTCTCACCCGTCCCGCTCCAAACAGCTCTGTTGCTAGGAGACTGGAGGGGCTGATTCGGCAAGCGGCCACCCCGACCCCCCACCCCCTCTGGCAGTCGCACACACACAGTCTCTGAAAATTCGTACACACACAGGGGCAGTGAAGGGAGGGGGCAAGAGAAAGGAGACAGCTGGGTCACACTCACTCACACATACA